ATAATTGCACAATTGTACAGTACCTTAAATGTATACCCAGACACCAATGCATGTTAAAGTTGTTTAATGTATAGTTTTAAAGCTAAAACCTGGCACCATTTATTGATAAATTTCTCCTGGTTCTGAAAAGGAAGATACATTTCCATGGTGCCAAGAGAAATCACATCTTAAGTTCCAATTAAAATGTGACTTTTTCAACTCCAAATCTCTGTGTGACCATTTAGCCATCTGTTGGATGACACAACCCCACTGATTTCAGCCTAGATAATTATGACTGTAGGAGCAGTGCAAAGGAAAGTTCAGCTTGGGGTCCAGTTGAGAATGACTATTAATTATGAGGAGATAATTACCAAGAGCTTGTTTCACATGCAGGGGGAGAAGTAGCAAATATCTAGTGAAGGTATAGAACACACACACACACACACAGTGAATTTGTCTGCATTTTAATCAGTACCAGAAATCTTCCTTTAAAACATTTATTCTACATAGTATGTCTACTAAAATAATGTTTACCAGGAGAGGTTGTGTTTTCATTCATTTTTCCTTGGATTCTTTATGCTTGGCTCGTGGCTCATTTACTATATGAAAGCATTTGTATTTATGGCAGTCTTAGAAATAAGGGAAGGAATCTAGTCTTTGCCTCTATTAGAATCCAACTAAAGGCCTTAGCATATTCTGAAGTTACATCTCAACTAGAACAGAAAAACTGGAATCAGCCCTCCGCTGTTAGATTGATGACAGAAGGGAGGTTACTGTTGTGCCCACACTACATACCACAGAATATTGTTTGATAAGACACCATCTAGATCCAATTTCTTCTCACCTTCTTGGTATGAAGAACTGAGCTAGGGAGTAGATAAAAGACACATTGTGAAGGAAAATCAAGCCAATGATTTTCTCCTTAGCTGTGTTGTCATTAGATGAAATTTCACTGAGCTATGTACTGAGACCTTTACTATTTACTCACCAGTGTTAGTAGCAAAAGGCTTTATAGAACAATTATTTCATGAAGAATCTTCTGCAGCTTCATAGCAGGCATGAAACTGAGCCCAAATACATTGGCATTTCTGGCTAGCTCAACATTAAAAATTTGTGATTTTAGATGGTGGCAGAATGTAGCCTTTAGGAATTGGTAGAGAAGTGTAAAGAAAGGATTTAAATATCCCAAAAATAAAGATGCTAGAGAAGCCCTAATGAATTCCTTGTTTAGAAATGAAGCAAGGTTAGCTGTAATGATCCATCTTCCAGTTTGTATTAGCTCATAGGAACTATGAAGTACAAATAATTCTATACTATAAATAATTTACAATTTGACATCATACATTGTTTAAATCCTGGTGAATCTACATGATTAATTGACATGGGCAAGTCATATCATCTCTCCAAATGTTGGTTTGGCTTTCTTTAAATAATCAATAATGTAAGTGCTTTCCTCAAACTTGGAAAATTAGATGATGAATCTAAACTTTTTTATTTAACTATGAATTTCCTAAGCTTCCAATAGGAATTACTATTGAGAGACATCTCAAAATTGCATTCACATGTTCACATGACATAGGATTCTGCTTATAAACACACATAGAGTATGCATTTCAAATTTGAAGTTTTTAAAGAACATCTTGTACTGCAAATTAATAATTCACTTTGCCTTTCTAATGATCTTGAATAAATTAGGACTATAATACAAATCTTATTTTGTCTGATTGTTTTAGGGTCAGCACATCAGATTTCAGATAAAGAATTCTATAGATTTTTATTTTTTTAACCATTAATTATGTAGAAGTGCTAATTACAATACAAGGTAGACAGAATGGAGAACTAGAATTCAAGAAGCATGACTTCTAAATATAGAACTGTTTGTCCTAGGGCAAATTAATCTATCTGGCTTCCAGTTTCTTTGTACTTAGGAGGAAAACAGCTGTGCCCGGATTTTGTTTTAAAGGTCATCTATAGTTGCCACATGGTTCCACAAAAAAATGTAGAATGGCTCAATTTTTTAAAATTCTTTTATTTATAAGCAACATTGAGTCCTGTGTCTGTACACCATTTTACCTCCCCACTCATTAGAAGAGTTGGGATTGCTTTTATTTTGAAGTTAATTTTATTCTCAATTCTGAGACTTTCTGTTGTCAGATAACTTTAAAAGGATGATTTGTTCCACTCAGGCAGATCTCTCTTCTTGTACCTGAATAGACCAGTTACACATGTGGGAAAGACTCCATCATTTTCTCCAAAGAAAATTATATAAGTTCTTATGAAAGCCAACTATTAAAGTAAAACCTTACACCTCTGGCATAATTCTTTAATTTTTTAAATTAAAGAACAAGAAAGAATTTCTATGAAATAATTTTCACTAATTATATTTTAGTTACTGTTCTTTTTAAACAAGCTTCTTGTTCAACAAACTTACAAAAACTAAAATATATTCAACACATATTTAATAAACTTGAATGTTTGTTAATGAAATTCAATCAACTTACTAAGTTTTATAACTTTATATATCTAATTTGGAATAGAGACATCCAACTAAGGAAAATATAAGGGTGACAAGGAATAGAAGTGGGTAATCCTATGCCCTGTGTGACTATTGTTGGTTGTATTATGAAAAAGAGGATTTGCTGGTATGTAAATTAGATGATCAATCCATTCCTGGAAACAGACAAAAATCTTATAGTGACAATAGACCATTATGAACTCCTAACTCCCATTTGAATAATACCTGCTACAAACCAAATTATTTATTTTCATTTGTCATAATGGAATGTTCTTATTTCTGCTTTCACTGTAACTTTACCTCAAAGGAAATTCTATAGAAAAGGATATGGATGGGGCTTCCATATGGTTTAAAGTCTAATGTTTTTCCAAGCAGTGGTCATTATCTAATGGGGGACTGATTGATTGGTTCAATGTATATTTGATACTGTACTAGAGTTTGTTTTCTATACTTGACGTAGACAGTGAGATGAACAATACAAGTTTTGGGATAAGCTTTTCCTATGGGTTTGCCTCATTTGATCCTCTCTGTTCCCAAGGCAAAAGCCTGGCATGGTTTCCTTAGAAAACACATCTGTCATTTGCCCCCACCACTCCAGGGGATCTATCTTCTCTCTATTTTGGAAAGGTAACTTTTTGAACCTTGTGGTTCTTCAAACATCTAGCTGTCGCTCTAGATGGCTCACAAGGTCAGAAGAGAAACACTGGGGCCATCCCTGCCCCTGACCCATGGAATATGATCTGGGAGTGCAAACAGCAAGGAAGCAGTTGAAAAAAATCCAAAAATCCCTTCTCGGTCATACAACATCAGAGCCTGATTTATCTCAACACCACAGAAATTCCTTATTCTCTGTGTTAAAATTCTGTGGCCCGAATTTAGTTATTTAGTTGTTCTAGAATACTATTTCAGACATAAGTTTTGTGTTTCAATTTCCTGACGCATGTTTTATATGACAAAAATCAATAGAATGAAACACACATAATAAAGCCGTGTTCAAGTTTGCTAACAAAGTGAAAAAGGTCTGAATCATATCAGAGACTTCTAGTAAATAATACCCATGCAAGGCTAGCATGATTGTTCTACGGGTAAAGAACTTATGCACAAGCCCAAGGAGACATGAGTTCAAACACCTGAATTCACAGTGAACCAGAGAACCCACTTCTAGAAGTTGCCTTCTGGTTCCCATTTGTTCACCAGGCACCCACACACTTGTACTTAGGTATACACAATGATGTTTTTAATTTAAAAAGAAATAAATAGCCATATATGTTTTGTGCTGAGACTTTGAAATCCCTGAAGTGACATGCTAGGCTTCCAGGATACATAACTTTTCAGTATTATTATCTCTGTGACTTAATTTTCATATTTTTTGATCTATCATTTGCTGAGCTTAATTAAAAATGTGTTGTTTCATTAAGTACTTCATCTTTCAGTTAGAAGGTTTTACATGTAATTATGTAAAAAAGAAATGGAAAACTTTTCAATGATTATAGTAAATGATCTAGAGAGTTGCCCACATTTTATAATTAGCTTAGTTAGGAGATCAACTAATTTCTCTGTAGCTCATGTAGAAGATATATTTTCAACATGTGCCTATAAAATTATTAATATAGAGTCATTTTAATAAATACAAAAGATGGCTTTAAACACACAGACAAATAACCTCACATAAAGTGAAACCGTGGGTATATAGAAATAATTGTGTGGCTGGCTGGGTTAACTTTTATTTAACTAAGGTGAGGAATGTTCCAGGTACTTTAGCCATATATTCTTCATTGAATAGAACCTCAATAAACATTCACACAATTCACATTGTGATTGTTTGTCACATGGGCATGGTAAAACAAACATCCATGATTACATTGTTCTGACAACAAGATGGGAGGCATAGACAAGAGATACTATGGAAACTCCTGGACCAGCTAGCCTGGAAAACATAGTGATAACAAAAGACCTTCTCAATCAAAGTGGAAGATGAAGATCAACATCTGAGGTGGTCCTGTGGACTCCATGCACATGCTACACACACACACACACACACACACACACACACACACACACACACACACACACACACTTTCTAAAAAACCAGATTATTTGGCATGGTGTGGTGTCCATAATTTTTTGTTGTTGTTTGTTTTATTTGTGACAGGCTTGTTGTTTGTTTCTGTTTTTGTTGTGCATTGTCATGTTCATACAAGAATTAAAAGACACGTTTTATTTGCAAACTATGGTCAGCAGTCTTGCCATTACCTGTTCATACACCAAGATAACAAACCTGAGTAAGTAATTGTGACATCGAAGACGCAGGAATGAATGGTGGATCTGTATAGCAGCTATAGCTCTAACCTCTAACTAGCTTTCATTTTTCATCTTTACAAATTCCATTTCCTCTATTTAAGTAGATTCTCCTGCGCATGTCGATGGTCTTCTGAGCTCTTCTAACACATGCTCTGTTAATGATACTGTTAATAATTTTTCATATTCTTTCTCTCTTCTTTTTTAGTCTCGACCTATTCCTTCCCACCTTACTTCAGCAGTTGCAGAGAGTATCTTGGCTTCAGCCTGTGAAAGCGAGAGTAGAAATGCTGCCAAGAGGATGCGCCTGGAGAGAGCACAGGTACTGAGGAGTGTGAAGGAGTGCAGACCCTTGAATGGATCTAACACACAAACAGACTTCTGTTCTTTTAAACTTGAATCTGGAAAATGTTGTGCTCTGGTGATCCATGAATACCAAACAAAAAAGTCTACAGTGAAAAGGGGGCAATTAGCAAAACTCAATTAAACTTCCTGTATCAATTTAATGGCTAGGAGGTTCTGACTGCTTATCATGTTATTCAAGTGTACCTTCTCATTTATGATGGTGACTGAAATGTGTTCATTTGTAATGAAAATGAACCTCTCTTTAATGCTGCCTTGTCTCTTCTGGCATATATTTCCAGACTGCTTGGAGCAGGGTTACTATATTACCCATGACAATAGATTATGCTGATGGTAATCAAAGCACAGATACTCTCTGGAAGATTAGAAAGTCTTATGTGGGGACGTAATCTAATGCATATCCATGTTCTGGGCTTCCTCTTCTTCATAATTAAATATCTTTCTGAAAATTCTATTCTTGATGCTTTAGCTGTTTAGTGTTAGCATGAGCACATTTGGTTCACTCTTCACAGGCACTTCTCTTCGTGGTTCTTTAGTCCTTCTGTGTTTCTTTCTTATCAATACATTAGATGCCTCTTCTTCCTCTGTCTCCCTTTCTTAACTATGCAGTGTGTTACAATATATGCTATCGATAAAGGCTTGCTTTATTATAAGTTTTAAAATTTTATGAATAAAATGGGTACTTCATACTTATTGCAAATGAGACTTTTGCAGAGTAGATTGTTAGTTCAATATTATTTTCTTCAAGCAAACAAGGGGGCATTTCTATTTCAAAATTAGAATATTTCTTAATTGTTTCAGAATGGCATTATTTTATACATTGATTATTATTAAACATTATGTACTTATAGTCCTGATCATTGCAAAGGATGAAGCCTATAGTTAAACAAAATGCAGTAACAATTGGATCAAAACAATTTGAAAATTTTGGATTTATTAATGGTGACAGTATACATTTGCATGTCCATGTTTTTAGTATAGATCATTTATTCTTAAGATGAAACACAGTCCTGTATGCATTGAGATCTGGCATCATGGTTAGCCTGTGCATTTGTAGAATAACTACACCTCATCTTGATTCTCAACTCTACCATAACTGATTGGACAGCTTTCAGCAAGCTAGATCAGATCTGTGTGCTTTAGTTTGCCCATGAGAAGTTATAATTGTAACAGTACTAATTCTTAGAGCCAATGAGAACACCTTAAAGAAGGTGTATGCTACCTACTAAGCATTTTTCTGGGAAGAAACAAGCAGCAACAAGGTCCACCTAGAAGGTTCTCCTATCTATGCCCTTTGTAGATGTGAAGCTATAAACAAACATCAGCATTTTCATCTCTGATATAGGAGTCTCTTGTCAGACTAAGTCTGTTTGGGAAAAGGTCTTATCTATAAAAACTAGAGTATTAAAATTCCAGAATTGAAAGAACTGTTCTGCTTGATGTATAGCCATGCACACTACCTACTGTCTCTAGAATATATTTGCACAATATCAATAATGCACACATTTCATGAAAAGTGACAAATTCATGTTGTATTATTAACTATCATATCACTCTACAGTATCCATCATGTTGGGTTATATACTGGTATGTGTTCAAGCTGAAAAATAGATAAAGACATATATTTAACTCAAAGTCATTGTGATGCTTCAGTAAGTATTTATGTATGAAAAAGAGTATATTTTATGTTACATATGTCGTTAAGTATGTATGCCCCATATGCTTGATTATCTTGAGCAGTAGAAATATCACAGGTACTTCACTAGCCATTTACTATTTACTAATACATTTGTACTATTAATTATTGAAGACATTTAAATCAGGCTAGTATTTGTTTCTTAGAGCACCCATCAGTTAAAGAAAAACTAACAGCAGTGTTTAGGAATGAGGTTGCCAGTTATTGTTCCTTGTACTAGGATGGGCAGGTACTAGTAGTTCCTTGACTCTGCACTCAAATTTTCTTTGTTTGCTAAAACCCAGTGGTTGTATCATGAAAGGTTGACTACTTTGAAATGTAGAAACATTTGTGCCAAGCATTAAATGAGTTCAGAAATCTAGAGAAATGTAATGAATAAGCAACCAATGTTTTAGATTATATCCTATAGGTTGAGAAGATGGCTTAGACAGTACACATTTGCCTTACAAACATTAGTACCTCCTTTCAATCCATACCAATGAGAGATCCTACCTCAAGAGAAAATAAAAGTAGATAGCACTGGGAAACAGCATCCAAGTTGTCCTCTGATATTGACCTTTATATATATATATATATATATATATATGTATATATATATATATATATGCCCGTATGAAATTAAATGAATAAATTATAATTTATAATTTTTGTGAATTGATTAGACACTTTACAAATACAACAACCCTACAAAACTGGTAGTAATGTTCTTTTCATAAACATAAAACGGAGGTCCAGAGAGGTGTGGAGATTAAGGGAAGTTGAAACTGCATGCAAACAACTTCCTCCATGTTTAAGCTTTCTGAAAGCACATTTGCAATCGTCTCGTTGTCCTATAACATCTTCTCATTGGCTATGTACCTCAAGGAAAAGTCAGGCCCCGTTTATGCACACTGAATGCTAGTATAGCATATATAATTAGCACTTCAGAAATTTCTACACCAATTATTTTTATCACAAGTTTTGTAACTCTCATCTGAGATGCCACACAAAGAAGTTTACCAGGTACTTCTCCCACTTTGAAAGTGACAGCATCACTCTTATGTTGGATCCAAGCCTATGTCTAGTCATTTGTGCTCTTGTCATTGAAACCATACTTTCTTTGTGTATCCATAACCAAACTCCTGATTCTCAGAATTTACCCATGGTTTAGAGCTTTCCTTCCCATTAGCCCCCAGCTGAAGGAAAGGCATAAAATTTCAGAAGCTGAAAGGCCAAAATCTATTTTTGTATTAAGCCCTACCCTGTCTCTTCATTGCCAATGGCTCACCACATGGTGAACCCTAATTATGTATGTCCTTCATTGTTTATGACGCTTGATGGGTTAATTGGATTTTATGGAGCTTTTTCAGCTATGAAAACATGAAACATGAAAACATAACATGAAAGGTGTTATGGATGTGTTAAATCCTTTATTTCAAACGTCCATTTCATACAAAGCTGTACAACAGATGCCTGAAGGCAGCCAGCTGCAAGGTCAGAACTGAGAGCTTCTTCAGACAACAGAGTTTACATAACTGAAGTTAATCACTGTGTACATTGGGATACATGCAGGGTTTCTGCTCTTGTACATGAAAATATGGAGTTTGTTCATGATTGAAGAGGAATTCTCTCTCAGTTTGGGTACTCAGAAAAAAAAAAACACCACTGGTGATGCATTTATGGAAGTCTGCATTAATTCATGCTTTTCCCCTTGCTCTTCTAGGACACTAGTGAGTAGACCTGTTATTAGAAGACATGACAATATAGGTGGAAACACTGGAATTATAGCTGTGTACATTCTATTTTGGATACATTTGAAAACTGAATGAGACAATTTTTTAAAATACCCCATACTAGCTGGATGTTGTGGCACACACCTTTAATCCCAGCACTCAGGAGACAGAGGCAGGTGGATCTTTCTGAGTGCCAGGCCAGCCTGGTCTACAGAGTGAGTTCCAGGAAATGCAGGCTGTGTGTGTACATGGTGAGCCTATGAGTATGTATATCTATTTATGTCTGTGTCAAGGCATTTGCCAGGCATTGAGATCCTCATTAATATGAATATTAGTAGTGTATACACAAAAAGGTATAGTATTGTCTGGGGTATCTTAGACTTATGACCAAGGACATTGTCATATTTTGTAGAACTGGATCAACTAATGTTTAGAACCATTGAAAATATTCCCCAGTGGCAGTCTTTCTTGGGAAGACTCCTTTAAGTCAGTCATTTTGAATTTGATGATCATAGTGACTTAAAATTTTAAGGTATTTTCAATAATAAAGCACACATTTTTGACAATTTGAGAAATTAATTAACAAACGTTTACTGAACATTTCACTCTCTGCTTTTATATCACCCTTACAAATTTATAGATAAATATTTCCAAATATTAATAGCATTACACTTTGACTTCCATGTCACCTGCATTCTGAGAACCTCATCTGTCACTATAAATCTTGTGGAGTTGTTGGAAACCCGCCTATTACTTCACAAATTCATTTTTGTAAATTACTAGGGGCAGATTTTACTTTTCCTAATACAATTTTCATGTACAGAAAACATCTTACCTATTATTTCCAGGGTAATTTCTGAGAAGCAGCATTATTAAAGGAAAGAATCCCCGGAGCTCTTAAAAGTCTCAATAAATAGAAGATCCATACCCTTGTAATGTCTCCTTTTAAAACCTGATATAAAAATTAAATTTAGTATAAATTAACTGTGGTCACAATTACAGAATATTATCCTCTGATGTTCATATTAACAATGCCTTAAAGTTAAGTAATAAAGTAGAGTGGTAATAGTAATGAAACAGTTTCTTAATGTGAACATGTGTGGACATTGGGGCACTAGAAGGAATGGTGAAATCATCAGGTGCTTGTCACATTTATGAGAATGCAAAAACTAAACAATCCTCTGGTCCTGTACAAGTGCCAACTTTGATAGGTCAGTGACATACATTTTCCAAAAGATGGTAACACTCCAAATGAACCGATGTAATAGTATTTGATATACACAGGGTAAAAACCCTGAGATACTCTAATATATATGTGAATGCAGATGCTAAAACCTTCGGTTATTCCTAACAATCAGTTTAAGTTTTTGCCTCCAAACTTTCCAAATATTCTCTCTTGCTATACACAAAGATCTCTAGCTGGACTATGAAAACCATGTGGGAGCAGAGATAGTCACAGAATGTTGAATGGAGTGTATTAGGCTCTAACAAACCCACCCTTAACCTTGATGATGGCAATAGCACCTGCTCTACACTGTTCTCAAGGTTTGG